CTAAATCTGTTATTTCATTAGGGATAAATTGTATGTGCGTGTGTGTGTGTGATTTTTAACAGCTTTATAGGAAAGTAATTTACATCCAACAAGCTGTACGTATTAAAGGGTATAATTCAAGAAGGATTGACATACTTACACGCCAGCATGGGTATGGATGTGCATATACATGTTTATGTTGACTGTCCAGTGCTGTAGAGGATATGGTGTATGACAAGAGTGCTGCAGGGACAAACGATGATTCCTTTGATTAGATTCTTGGAGGGCAAATTCCAACTTTCTCAGTGGCATCATCGTGGGTTTCACCATTTGACAAAGGAGGAAAAGGGGCAAACAGAAGAGCAGATATGAAAGTGAAGGAGGGCGAAGACCCAGCTCTCTCACTGTGCCTGGAGAAGACAGTGCTTGGAGTGGAGCAAAGTATTTGTATTGTCATTGGTGACAGATGCCGAAGCATCCATCTCTGTCATTTTCCGGCACAGCGGCCTGGATGACTGCTTCCCATGGGATCCTTATCTGGAGGATCTTCCTTTGCCACTGAAGAAAGCAGATCTAATACAAAGGAGACATTAGATCAAGGCTGACAGAAGCTTATAAGCCCACTGTTACCTGGGGTTAGACAAACCCGACCTTGAACATCAGCTCCTGACTACTGACAGCAACCAGCAATAACACATCTTGTGAAGGCTCCAGCCCACTCAGCACACGAGGTCTGTGAGCTCCTGACTCTCACAGACAGTTTAGCCCCTGCAGGGTCTCTGAGCCATGCTCTGATGTAGAGGAGACCTTGTCATTTACCTGGCCACTCCCACCAGGACTGGTGCTGGGGTAGGGAAGCAGAGCAACCTGCTGGCCCCCACCTGCTCATGCTGCCCCTGCCCCTCCATGTGCCATCGAACTCCCAAGGCCCACCCCTCCCAGGGTCTGCCCATACTTTGTAGTTCTTGGTTTAGCCATAAATATAAAAATCCAAAAGGCTGGTATCACTGCACACATAGCCCTTTAAGCCCACAGTAATACTTGAGAATGTGGCCCTCTTCCTTGCTGGGTTGTTTTTATTGGATCTTACTGTGATTTCCACTTTGCTTTTTTTTAAAACCTGTTTTCTTAGCTATCTATTGATAATAAATTAGATTTTTCATATCTCTTAGAAATGAAATGTTAGCAAAAGGTAAGATTCATTTTTAACACTTTATTTATTAACATGCCTTCCACATGTCTCCTCAGGCAGTCTCTGTGGGTTTTATGGTGGGTGCAAGTCTGGGTACAGTCAGTGAGTGGAAGGGTTAAAATACCCGGCACTGTCGCATATGGCTGTGAGCACAATCGCAGATGTTGATGATACCACGTAATTAGTATTCTTTTATGTAAATGAAGGCTGTCAGCATGTTACCATAGTGTCTCCTCGCTCTGAAACTGGAATTTATGCCACTCTGTCTCACCAAGACCAACCAGGATTATTCCACGGATTTTAGTTAAGAATAGAGGGGGAAACATCAGTATTATGGGGCAGCTTCCCTAACATAGATTCCTGTTTTCTCCCATTTCATTTTTATTGGTTTCTTTCACCCTCAAAAATTGTTTTCTAGTGATGCAATTATGCATTTGAGATCTGTTAAGACATTTCTGAAAATCATTGGAATAGTCCAATTAAAAGACATAATATTTTCAAGGTGTAGATTTTTTTGAAAGATGACTGTGATTATAATGTGCTGTCATCTCTCTTATGGAGACTTTAAAAAAATTTGATAAATCTAGAAGTTTCTCATTAGAAAAAAAGGCAAAAGTTAGATTTAGTCTTGTAATTTTCTACTTAGTGACATTTACCTATGGAATTATGTAAAGTATTGATTATGAGGTTAAGCTCACTTGATTTCAATTTTTGAAATAAAACGACAGTAATTTTAAAAAGCAATCGCCAGGGTTGGGGATTTAGCTCAGTGGCATAAGCGCCTGCCTTGCAAGCAGGCAGTCATGAGTTCAATCCCCGGTACCGATTAAAAAAAAAAAAAAGCAATCACCAGTGTTTTCCAGGCTGCCTTTCCCTGTGTGCAGATGGGTCCAGGTTGTGCGGGGCATTTATCATGTGGCTGATACACTCAACGATGTAGGTCCGGTCCGGTGTTTCACGTTCTTTTCAGTTATACAGCAGCTTTGCCTGTTTTAGATATTGACGGTCTGTCACACTGGATGATGTATATTTTACATGGAAATGTTAGAATTATTGTGACCTCTGAGAATATGAAAGGAAAGCTGTTCGCTGCAGAAAAGCATAAAACAGAATCCTTCTTTCTAGCAGAGGGCATGAAGCTTGGTTCTGAAGCAAAGCAGGATGGTACGGCAGGTGGATTGGACAGTCGTGCTTGGGTGAGGCCTGCCTGCAGTTGTGTTCTTTTTATTCTCTGTTATATGCTGGATAAGGGTGCATGTTTGTTTTGAGTCCCGTCTGGGAGATGCCATTTCCTGATCAGATACGGCTTCCTCTGGAGAAGGCAGTCTGCTTCTCTGAGGTGCAAAGTGGCACTGTGTTTCAGAATGGGTTCTGCCTGCCCTATGGCAGATGAATGAGCCACCACAACGAACTTGTAATGGGAAGAGGGCTGTGGAGAAGGGGATGTATGTGATTTATAGGTCAGAAAATGAAAGGAGAAGAGAATTTCCCAAGTGCCTTTGCCATTTGACAAGTGTTCTGCAGAGTAAGGATGTGAAGTGGTTTTTGGTAGATTTCGGTTTTGGCTTTTGGTTTTCCATTATATTTTTTCCTAGCACAGGAGTGAGGCATCAGTGTTACTGGCTGTTGCGCTGCTGAACTTCTGCTTATGGACATGCTCCCTCTCTGGAGGGTGTGAAGCTATGCTGTTTCATAGGGTAAGATCTTGGTGGTAATTAAATTCCTGAAGACATCTAGGCAAAAATGGGGTTGGCCATGTACCAGATTTTTGGTTGTAAGAGAAAGCTATTCAAATACGACTCAGGGGGCTGGAGATTTAGCTCAGTGGCACAGCACCTGTCTTGCAAGTGCAAGGTCATGAGTTGGAGCCCCAGTACAAAAAGAGAGAGAGAGAGAGAGAGAGAGAGAGAGAGAGAGAGAGAGAGAGAGAGAGAGAGAGATTCAGCAATTACTTATCTTTCAAAAGAAAGAAAAGCAGGGTAAAGCTAGTTTGTCCTGATATGTTCAAACCTGTGTGCTGTCCTAATACTGCAGCCACTAATCTCATAGGATTATTTCAGTTGTAATTAATTTAACATGCAGTTCCCTGGTCTCACCTGCCACATTTCCAGCAGTCGGCAGTCACATATAACTAGTTACTGCATGTTGCATAGCACAGAGAGAATATTCTGGGACTGCTAAGTGTCCTATTAGACCATGTGGGTCTGAGTAAAAGACTTTGATTTCTATGAATTCTTCATCCCCATATAATTTATTAGATTAATGTAGGATCTAGGGCTTTAATGTGCAAAAGACTCATCTCTAGAGTTTGTTTAAAATGGAGACTTGAGACCCCTTCCCAAATTTCGATTCATCAGATCTGGAGGAGGAAACAGGAAGTTGCCTAGGGAATTTGGATGCTGGTAGGTAGTTCAGGGACTACATTTTGAAAAATAGTGAAAAAATTTGGAATTGCTTGTCTCTTGATATTTTCTTCCTTCATTCTTTAATCATGAACTCCTTTGTGCCCTTAGTAAACTGGTTGAGAGAATCATGTGTACCCAACTTGTATTCTCAATTTGTATTAGTTAGCAAAAAACAAATTCCTTTATTTACCCTTTAATTTTTTCCCCAGTACTGGGGATTAAACTCAGCGCCTACACACTGAGTTACATCCCCAGCACTTTTTTTTTTTTTTAATTTTGAGACATAGCTTTGTTAAGCCACTAAGTTCTCCAGCTGGGCTTGACTTTCCCTTTCTTCTGGTTGAGGCTCCCAGACTCTTCATCCTTTGGTGGTGGTGGTGGTGGTAGTGGTGGTATGGAGTGTTGGGGAACAAATCCAGGGCCCCACACATGGTAAGCAGGCATCCATAGGCTGTACTTCCAGCTCCTGGGAGGGGAATTCTGACAGCATTTTAGACCACTAAGAGCTAAGCACTCAGACCTTGTCATTATACTTTTTAAATCAGATGTTATTGGTACATTTTAGATACACACATTCATCATAGAGAATTTGTACTTGTACATGATATAACTTGATTCTTTTTTTTCCATTCCCCATCCTCCCTTTAACCCCTCCTCCCTTCCCCATTTACAAAAGCTTTGTTATTTTTTCCTTCTTTTTTCTTCTTTTCTTTCTAGATCTTGTCATTATAAAGAAGTGAAAAGGAAAAATAACATATGATCTCTTCTAGAGACTAGTTATTGAATTAGAAAACAGACAGACTCAGCCAGGGAAATGACTTAAAGGACACCAGCAGTAAACCAGGAAAATAATAATAATCAGAAAGAAAAAATAAGTAATAACTAGAAAAATAGTACAGCAGAATCTAAATCCTGACAGTAATCAAAGAAAAAGTAAGACCTGGTACAGCTGAGGAGCTTTTAGCTTGTGTGCCTGGTACAAGCTGAGGGTTTCTTATGTGATGACCTAGCCTCTGCCATCTGGAATGGACAGTTAAGAAAGGGAAGGATCACTAAGCTGGTCTTTAGGTATACTTATTTATTCCTCAGTTATGACAAAGCAACTAGGCCAAAAGGGCACGCAGAAAGCTAAAGGGACTGCTCAGAGTGTGCTGGACTTAGGGCTTTTCTGGGCTGGCCCTATCAGCTAGGACTGTCGCTCACAGAAATGCAAAATAGAAAAGAAAAGGAGGTGAAGGTAGTTTATAAGAGGAACTGTCTTTAGGAATTGAAAATCAGGGAGTGGGGTGTAATTATTTTCTTGCAGGATAGTCAATCAGCTTCTTTCCTTGGAGAAGTTACCTTTAGGCTTCTGTGAGCAATATGGAAGAAGCAGTATGAGAAGGAGAGATGTGCTTGGTTCATTAGCACAGTATGTCCATATCCATTGTCTGGCAGATTTATTGTTGTATTTCTTTTGTCTCAGAGGTTGAGTTAAATGCTGTCCTTCCAGCAGCCGGGCAGCCTCTCCGAAATCAGATTGATCTGATTCTCTATTACACAACCTTTCCAGAGCAGTAAGTGGAAGTTTCCCCACCCTTTCTACAAGGTATCAATGTTGTTTTTAAAAAGATACATATAGGGGCGGGAGATGTATCTCAGGCACAGCTCCTGCGGGGCAAGGTCCTCAGTTTGATTTCTAGTACAAAAAAAAAAAAAACCATGTAAAACATCATTGAAGTTGAAGCCTCTTTGTGTATCACTAAGGATGCTTTGTATAAGATTCTTCCTTTCCTTTTTCTATTCCTTTTTCTCTTTTCTCCCCTCCTCTTTCCTTTCCTGTTTTTGGGACAGGGTCTCACTCTATAGCCAGGTCAGCCTGGATCTCAGTCCTTCTACCTCAGCCTCCTAAGAGTACACTTTCTGTCTCTTACCTTTACCTAATGCTGTACCTCTGCATTGAAATCAACCTGAGATTTCCTTTTTATTTGAGACTCTTCATCGGCCCCTTGGCAACTGATATGTTACGAAGTTGGAACTTCCAAAGGAACCAGTTTTGAACTGAAAATGAGGGAGTCGAGTTGAAACGCCAGTTGCGAGGTCATCCTTTGAAAGACTGCTCAAAGGCGTTTTCTTTCTCTCTACCCGCCTCCCTCCGCTTGGGCCGGCGGTGCAGGTTGAGGGAGTGGCCACTGCGCTGAGACATGGATAGATGCAAGCATGTAGGGCGCTTGCGGCTGGCCCAGGACCACTCCATCCTGAACCCCCAGAAGTGGCGCTGCCTGGAGTGCGCCACCACCGAGTCGGTGTGGGCCTGCCTTAAGTGCTCACACGTGGCCTGCGGCCGCTACATCGAAGACCACGCCCGGGAGCACTTTGTGGAGACCGGACACCCGCTGGCAATGGAAGTCCGGGATCTCTACGTGTTCTGCTACCTGTGCCAGGACTATGTGCTCAATGACAACCCCGAGGGGGACCTGAAGCTGCTTCGGAGCTCGCTGCTGGCTGTGCGTGGCCAGCAGCAGGACCAGCCGGCGCGGCGCGGGCGCACGCTGCGCTCCACTGCTACCACCCCGGCCACCGCCCCAGGTGAGGACGCCGCCCTACCGCTGCACGCGCCCCGGGGGCAGCCGCAAATGCTCGCGGCGCTGTGGCACCGGCGCCAGCGCCTGCTGGCCAGGACGTTGCGGCTGTGGTTTGAGCGCAGCTCTCGGGGCCGGGCGAAGCTGGAGCAGCGGCGGCGCGAGGAGGCCCGAGAGCGCAGCAGGGAGGCAGCACGGGCGCGGCGGCGGGAGGAAAAGCAGCGGCTGCTGGAGGAGGTGGCAAGCGCACCGCCGCGCAAGAGTGCACGCTTGCTGCTGCACACGCCACGGCCCCCCGCGCCCACGCCTGCCGCTCTCAAGTTGCGTCGCCAGCCCGCCGTGGCCCCGGGTGTCACGGGCCTACGTAACCTGGGCAACACTTGCTACATGAACTCCATCCTGCAGGTGCTCAGCCACCTCCGCAAGTTCCGAGAGTGCTTCCTGAAGCTCGACCCCTGCACCACAGAGCACTTGTTCGCACACCGGAAGGCCCGGCTCTCAGCCACGGAGCCACAGGCCAGCAGCGACAGAGCTGAGGCTTGCAGGCGCCACGACCTCTGCTGGACCGGCGGGGCCTCTCTCAGCAGGAGCCTGGAACTCATCCAGAACAAGGAGCCCAGCTCCAGGCACATCTCGCTTTGCCATGAGCTGCACACACTCTTCCGAGTCATGTGGTCTGGGAGGTGGGCCCTGGTGTCGCCCTTTGCCATGCTGCACTCCGTGTGGAGCCTGATCCCCGCCTTCCGTGGCTACGACCAGCAGGATGCGCAGGAGTTCCTGTGTGAGCTGCTACACAAGGTGCAGCAGGAGCTTGAGGCCGAGGGTTCTACGCGCCGGATCCTCATCCCCTTCTCCCAGAGGAAGCTCACCAAGCAGGTCTTAAAGGTGGTGAACACCATCTTCCACGGGCAGCTGCTCAGCCAGGTAGGGATGTGCCACCCAGGGCCAGAAGTGAGGGTGGCCCTCGTGCCTGTCGTCGTGTTGTTCACGGTGCTGGCCTTGCTGGAAAGCTTGTCCACTCTCTGGTCAGATTACTGTCAGTGAAGACCTGGGTAACCCAGTATGTTCTTTGTTATCATTAAGTATGCATGACTGCTATTCCATTCTTTGATCACTTGTGGGAAACTGAATAGGTCTGTGCATAACCCTGGTTGCATAGTAGTTTGAAAGAGCATTCTTCCTCCTTTATCTGGAGGAAGGAGAGATGCCTGGGAGCATGCAGAAGACCTAGGCAAGCCTTTTTCCTCATGGCTTTTTATTTTCCCAGTCTTTAGCTGTATAGGGACCTAAGCAAAGGTTCATAGATGAGGCCTTGTAAGAACATGCAGAAAGAATTTTCAGATGAGGAGATTTAGCAGATTCAGGCAAAAGCTGTGAACTACTGAGGTTTTGTGTCCCTATCTTCAGGGTTTTGAAAGACTGTTAGTGAGAAGGGGGAAGACATCACTGAGGCTTTTTGAAAGCATAGGAAATGCACTGGAAGGGAAAGTGGGAGAGAACATCCGATCAGTACTCTGAGGCTGTGTGGACAGATGATCTGGGTAGAGGGGGACCAAGAAACAGGGCAAAAGAGCGGGAAGGTGGCTGCACGAAAGAACCAAAGTCAGAAGGAGAGATATGAGGTGCGAGATGCAGACAACAGTTGCAAATTCTCTGTTTAGATTGACAGCTTGGATGGCTCCACACTAACCTGCAGCAGAGTGCTGGGCGTTAGGTGGCAAAGCTGCTGCGAGAGCGGGCGGGACAGCGCTAGGGGAATGTCTGCTCTGGAGTTGAGCTTTGTGACACATAGCATAACACATAGTTCAGCTGTGTACCACATAGTAATCAGAAATGTTACCAAATGTCATCTGTTCTAGTTGCTGTCGTTAAACTTCTGTGGTTTTTTAAAATTTTATTTTTTGAAAATTTATACTTGGTCTTGGTAGTTAGGTTGTACAGAACAAGAAAAAAATGTATGTGGGAACCTTGAAAATTTATATAATCTGTAATCTTTTCCTCCCAGGTCACATGTATATCATGTAATTACAAATCCAATACCATTGAGCCCTTTTGGGATCTGTCCCTGGAATTCCCTGAACGCTATCACTGCATCGAGAAGGGATTTGTCCCTTTGAATCAGACAGAGTGCCTGCTTACGGAGATGCTGGCCAAGTTCACTGAGACAGAGGCTCTGGAAGGAAGAATCTATGCTTGTGACCAGTGTAACGGTGAGTGCTCTGTGGAGGGCTCGGGAGGGTAACATGGGAAAGCAGTTTAAGGTACTTCTTTTGGCCCTTTGGTCAAAATAACACTGATGATAGTGAGTGGTCCTAATCAATCATTTATCCATCCCTTTCTTATGTTTCTGAGGATAAGCAATATGGACTTTTGGTATTAAAAATAAAGGCCTACATGGTGTGCCTTTTATTCCTCACAGTTGACTTTGTCATCTTGATGTATTTGGAAGTGGATCCTAAAAAAGGAGCTCTGGGGATGTTAGTACTTAGCTTCAGAGAACTACAGGGGCCCTACTTAAATTCATGAATGTCCTGGTAGAGTGTGGCAGTTCTTTTGTAATCTAAATTCAGGTGGCATAGCCTCTTTAAGAGCTATCATATCACAACAGCATTGTTTTTGTGCCTAATTGGTAGGTTTAAATCTGTCAGCAGTGATGCTAAAGACGAAGATAGCATGTGTAAAGGTGCCCAGTGGCAACTTCCTATTTTCAGCAGTTGTTTCTTCATATGCTTGAAAGGTTCACATTTCAAAGAAGTCACAAGAAAGTGTCTTTGTATAATTTCTTTCATTCTAAATTAGGGCTTTTTCCATTTGGCAATATGGACATCTTATATCTTGCCACACTGACAGATAATGCTTCTGTCAACTCAGCAGGTACATAGGAAATGCAGAGCAAATATATAGGGAAGCTCATAAAGATTTAAAAACTAAAAGTACAGCCGGGTGTGGTGGCTCACACCTGTAATCACAGCCTCCCAAGACAGGAGGATTACTGCAAGTGCAAGGCCAGTGTGAGCTACTAAGTAAGTTCAAGGCCATCCTGAAGTGCATAGCGATACCCTCTCTCAAAAAACAAAAACAAAACAAAACAAAAAAACTCCACTGAAAGAATATCATTCATGGACTGTACAAAGACCTAGAAATCAGTTTGCAGCCAGGTAGTAGTTGAGACTGTGAAAGTGTTGAAAACATTGTTGTGATACTGAGGACTGAACTCAGGAACTCATACATCCCAGGCAAGTGCTCTACCCCTGAGCTGCATCCCCAGCCTGGGCCACGGTCTTTTAAAATGGCAAGTTGTGGAAACCTCATCTGCTTGTTGAAGAATCAGGACAAAAGTAAAAAATCATACTTGATAGCATTTTTGCCATTTTCAAATTTGAAATATTGTGCTTGGCTGTTTAATTTTACCCTATAGAGATAGGTGAGTTAAATTGTTTTATTAGAGTAGTATCTGTTTTCGTTTATTTCTTAAATGGTGACCCATAAAGCTTTTTACTTGTAAGGAACAAAAGAGTATGAACAGCTTTAATGCTACCATTCTGGATATGGTGGGAGAGACAAGCAATACTTCCATTTATTTTTGCCAGAAACAGTTGCTTTTTCTGACTGCCAGATGTGCCAGCTTATCAGGATTTCTCCAGGCAGGCACACATGGTGGCAGGGAAGGAAAGCTGAGGTGAGGGGGTGAGATGCACTGATCGGTTGCTTGTGAGGCTTCAGAATTGCAAGCCCTCTCCTTCAATGTGTAGCCATCTCCATCAAATGGAGGTAGAACTGGTGATCTCAGTTGAATCATAATTTCTTTTTCTTTGTTAATTTCATTGTAGAGAAACAAAGTTGGACTCTCCTTTGTCTTTACTTAGCTCACATCCTCCCTTTGCTGAGGGTGCCAAGCAGAGCTGCAGTAATTTCAAAAATCTGGGAACAGGATGGAAATAGGGCTCAGCTTCTGTTCTGAATGCCATTTCTGCTCCTGCCCCACGTGCCTTGACCACTGTGAAAGCTGCCACTGGGCACATTCGTCCTAATGCTGTCCATCATGAGTGGTTACACCTCCACAGCCTATTGTCACAGAAAGCTGTGAACCGTCACTCAGCTGTGCGTTGCCACCTTCCTTGAGTGCTGCAGAGCGGCTTTGGAACCAGCTGGAAAGCTTTGCATCCCCTGAGTCCAGGACAGCCACAGCTCAGAGGCAGTTAGCAGGCCCTCTCTTTGTATTTGCGTCCCTGTGCCTTTGTAATCTCAGCAGACACTCCAGAAGGCTTCTAGTGAAAATTAGAGGACTTTCTTTCCATTGCTGATGTGCTAAAAATTTAGAACTGTGTTTCCTCCATAATTCAGCTTTGGAAACAAACTAAGAGCCAGAGCACTGATGGTGTGTTGGGCTGGCTGACCTTAGCTGGCCTCCCACCTTTGTCCTGGTGGCTGGTCCTGTGCATCTATCCACGAGCTATGTTTCAAAACTAGGTATGGCTAAAATCACAGAACCAGTAAAGCTTATTTTATACTTAGTACATGCCATGCACAAATCATGCTGACAACATCTGTTCAATATTTTGTGCTGTGCTAGTCATCCTTTCTATCTTTTTCCTAAGTCTCAAGTATATGCATTGTTCCCCATTTTACTAATGAGGAAACTGAGGTTCAGTTCCTCTGAACTTGTTTAGCACACAACCTGCTGGGAGCAGGAAATGGAGTTAGACGTATCTAGTGGAAACAAAAAGCCTTTTAAAGTTACAGTGCATCACAGTTTCCCTTATCAGTGTAGGAACGCATGCAACCTTGGCATAGTCAACACTGTCAAGCTGTTGTAGTGACGGTCTGTTATATGACATCAGTAAATCCTTGGCAGCTGGAATTTGCCATCCTAGAGTCATACCAGTCGTGGAGTTGCTGTTGGCAAAAATTTGAACAGAGGGGCTGGGGATTTAGCTCAGCGACATAAGCGCCTGTCTTGCAAGCAGGCAGTCATGAATTCGATCCCTGGTACCAATAAAAAGGAAAAAGCCAAAAAATAAAAAAATAAAAAAATTTGAACAGAGATATATCCAGGTTAGGTCTGGTAGCTTGTGATATTAATCCAAGTACCAACGGCTTAAAAAGAAGTGACATTTTTTTTTTCTGTTATATAAAAGAAGTCAGATGCTGGCCCAGTAGCCACATGGTCATCAGGAATGCAAGCTCCTTTCTTCTGTTAAAGTGGTGCAGGATTCCATCAAGGTGACTTCAGGGTCCCACAGGAATCATGTCAAACTGGGGAGGACAAGGGACAACTCTGTCACACTGTTGCAGTGACCATCTGCTATATCCCTGAGTCAGCTGTCTCTTTCAGCAGCCATCCCAAGAGTCACACAGTCATACCTTTCATCCTACCGAAAGCTCAGAGCCACACCACGCAGGCCTGTGAAACTAACTGGGTCACATTGCTGCCCCCAGTAACATTCTGAGTCAAGTCTTGAGACATGAGGGGATGTATACTTAGTGGCAAGTCACTGGCTGCCATCTCGGAGAAAGAATGAGACTACTCTCAACCTCTGTCTTATGCCTCCCAAACCATATAGGCAAGCGGCGAAAATCCAACCCCAAACCCCTTGTTCTGAGCGAAGCTAGGAAGCAGTTAATGATCTACACACTACCTCAGGTCCTCCGGCTGCACCTTAAGAGATTCAGGTGAGCATGTTCTGGGAGGGAGGGCCTGGGCTGGGAGCTGTGGGGTGGTGGCCTTGAAGGCTTGGTGAGGGCAGGTGTCTTCTGTGTTGGGAGGAGAAGCCCATCTCCGAGAGGGTAAATGGTTCCGGTCCATCAAGGCAAGTCAGCTCCTGTTCTGCAGCCATCTCTGTCTGGCCTGCACTGCTGTCTGCTTGCAAACCCTCCAAGTTTGCTTGCATTCACGTGGACCCTTCTTCAGGATGAAGTATAAAATAATGTGAAAAAAAGGGCAGCAGCAAACTCTGAAAAGACTGGTGCCTGAGTTGCCTTTAAGCCATTTTTAGGTTCAAAGTCACAGTGAATCTGTGTGGACGCTGATGAGTGCCAGTTTTGTTTAGTTTTTTTCCTTTTTATCGGTACCGGGGATCGAACTCACGACCGCCTGCTTGCAAGGCAGGTGCTTATGCCACTGAGCTAAATCCCCAGCCCCTGAGTGCCAGTTTTTAACGGGAAAGCAAAGCCAGCAGCTCTCCTTTATGCCTCTCTCTTCTGTGACCGTGCGTGCCAGTTTTCAATAGTAAGAAGTTTGTGCCCATGTTCTAGGTGGTCTGGCCGTAATCACCGTGAGAAGATTGGGGTCCATGTCGCCTTTGAGCAGGTATTAACCATGGAACCTTACTGCTGCAGGGACATGCTCTCCTCTCTTGACAAAGAGACCTTTGCCTATGATCTCTCCGCAGTGGTCATGCATCACGGGAAAGGGTTTGGCTCAGGACACTACACAGCCTATTGCTACAACACAGAGGGAGGTGCGTGCGCTTTGCTCTGCGGGGTGGGGACACGGAAGAGGGTTGGCCTGTCCACATTCGATTGCTTTCCTTTTATTTCCATCCATGGGCCACCTGGGGGGGAATTACATACAGTAAAGCTCCGTGGAAAGAATTAGGAAGTTGGCTTCACATTTGGGATCTATGCCACCTACCAACATGAGCTTGTTCTAAGAATGCAAAGGAACTGACACACATAGAAGGCTGGGGCAGTGCCGAGCACACTGTGCTTGCTTGGCTAGTATGGGGTTATTACAGTGTTATCCATGGTGCTGGGTACTGGCAGTGTTGCTATGGTTGCTCTGGCAATGCTCCTTCTGCAGACCCCAAGTTCCTTCTTGGTTATGCACAAATAGTGGGACCTGTGTAACCTCATGCAGCTATCCTGTGACTCTTACCAGCCTCACTTATAATAAACCTGGGGAAATGTCTGAGCACTTTGTGTGTCCTCACTACCTTGTACCCAGGAAAGTGTGGGATGCAAGGGTCCCCAGGTAGGCCCTCCAGCTACTGCTCTCTGACAGAGGGCAGCAGATGTGGTTTCAGCCAGGCCCCATTTTGAGCCCCTCAGCTTGTGAACAGACTCTTGCATCTGTAGAATGTTTCTTGTATTCTTCCTTTCTGTTTCTGTTCCTTTTTTCCTTTTCCCACTGCTTAGTGCCCAATATCCTGACTGGCTCTGCAGAAGACACTAATGGATAATGAAAGTGCCTTAGTAAAATGAGACAAAAATTAGCCCATCAGTATTGGTGTTGGGTGTGTGGAATTAAAGCCCATGGTTGCAAGGAAGCCTGGTGCCATTCACCTGTCCCTTCCCTCGCCACCAGGAATCAAAGGGGCCTCTGTGCCTTTTTGTGCTCCTGGTTCTGTGTCGGACTGGAAATGTGCATTGGGTAGTCATTTTCTCTCTCTCTCCTTTGGTCTCCTAGGTTTTTGGGTCCACTGCAATGACTCAAAGCTGAATGTATGCAGTGTGGAGGAGGTGTGCAAAACCCAGGCCTACATTCTTTTTTACACTCAAAGAACAGTGCAGGGCAATTCAAGAATCTCAGAAACCCAACTCCAAGCTCAGGTGCAGCCCAGCACCAAGGATGAAGGCCAACCTCAGAGCCTCCCCTGAGCCAAGGCAGCATCGTAGACTGGCTGGCTGTCCATCTGTTGGTGTCCGTTCATCTGTCCTTGCACAGGACAGAAGGGTTATGCAGGAACAGATTGCTAGGTTTGCCATACTGGGTCTAGAGTAGGAGGTGCCAGGTGTCTTGTGTCCTGCCAGAACACTTGGAGTCACTTGCTTTTGAATGTGTTTGGAAATGTCCTCCTTGCCTGAAACAAAAGGAGTGACTTCAGTGAGGTGAAGAGTGTTTCATCAGTTGCTTCTGAGTAGAGAGGGATCCGGGAGGAGAGAAGAGGGGTAAGTTGATGGTCCAGCCAGGAAGAGAGCAGGGCTTCTCTCCCTTCTGAGAGTCTCCTGCTATGCAGGCCCCGCCTACAGCATGGGAGGAGTGCCCTCGAGCTGGGGCCAGCCAGGCGGGTGCTGGAGGGGGTTGGTTCCAAAGTGGGAGGCAAAGTCTAAGGGTTTATTCCCAAAAGTAGTACCCTTCCAGCGTTGAAAACTTGCAGGGTAGTTCTCTTGGGGCTGGCAGTGGAGTGGAGGGAGGGTGCAGAGTGCGGGTTTCAGTGTTATACCCTGCCCGCTGCTGCTGTCATCAGTTGCTCCACACTTGAGACAGTTCATAGAAGGAACTGAAGGGCTAGAGTGTGTTCTCCATTGTACGCTGAGCCAAGCCACCAGTGGCTGTTCCAGCTCGGCAGCGGGTCCCTGGCTCAGGTCTAGGGCATGCTTGTGGTTGCATTTACACCTACCTGGGGGTCCACTGTCTGAGGCTTTCAGAGAGTGCGAAGGGTGGGCCAGGCCCTCTCCACATCTGTTCCCAGCTTATTTTTCTCTAGCACAGCAGGTCCTGCTTGTACCTGAGAGCAAGAACACTGGTGCTGTAAGATTTAGGAGCTTTGCCTCCAGGGGAAATTGCTTACGAATCTACCCATAGGTGTCCACCTTACTGCTGATAGCACTGGCTCCGTCCTGAAGCTCCTGCTCCTACTGTGCTATGCCCACCTGTCCTCAGTGCCTCAGAAAAAAAAACAAAGTGCCCACCCTGTACTTCTCTCTTTTAAATTGGTCCATTCTGAATAGAGTGAAGAAAACCTTCCTTGCTGCCAGGCTGCACTCTCCCTTCTCACTCAGCCTCGCAGGGGATGGTGAGGCCGACTCCAGCGGAAAGGTGTATGTATCACCTTAATGTCTGAATTCAGATGGAGGCAGGCATGAGAGACTCGGAAGGGCCAGGAAGTGGGAAAGCAAGGCTACAAGGTTATAGCTCTGGCGGTGCTACTGAGCCGCATTTCCCTAACAGATCATAGCATTTGCTGTTGACCTCTTTTGTGACAAACTCTACCATGGGACCTGCTAGCAGCACTGAGGCATGGAGGAAATTCAGACAGAAAATGGCTCACCCTGATGGGGAAGGAGTGACTGTGTTTTAAATTAAACTTGCTTTCCCCAACACTGTGAGGTTTCTGTAATATTAGCTTTTATTTGGAAGCGATAGCGTATGGCATTTTTATGCTGTTGGGTTTAGACTGTTTGCCGCAGGCTTCTTTGTGTAAGTGCTACCTAGGGTTGCCCTCTTCTGGACACTGTTTTAAAGTGTCACAGCTGCTGCACAGCCAGAGGCTGGGTGCAAAGCTGTACTCGAACCACGTTTCTAGGTTAATCTGGCTGGCAGTGAATCGGGCTAGGAGAGCCATGAACATGAAAGTAGAAAGGGAAGCACAAATCGTGCCTCATCTTGAATGCTGTCTATAATTCTAGAAAGAGAACCTCCAAGCTAGGTAAGAACTAATAGAGCACCTACCTTGCCCCTGCAGCTGCCCAGAGAGAAATACTTATTATCGTAAAAACATAATTAAAAGATCTTCCAATTTAATTTTTGTTTTGTTTTTTGGTACCAGGAATCAAACTCACAACCTTTGCTTGCCTGGCAGGCGCTGTGCCATTGAGCTATCCCCAGCCCTCCAAATCTAATTTTAAAAGTCTTATACCAAATACTAGATAGGATTATTAAGCAGGTTGATTTTGTAAAGTAAGTGCTTAACACAGCTGAGCACCCCTTATGAAACTGACAAAACCATTTACAATGAGTTGGAACAGAAACCAACATCAGATCCCTGACTATGCCCTTGTGAAGGCGGCTCCTGCAACCCAACCCTCAGGTACGAGAAGCAGCAGTGCTGGACTTTGCTGTTGGGTGAGCGCTTAGGGAGATTGGTATAACAGCACAGTTGACTGCTGCTTCAGCCAGTGGCTTTGGGAGGGAAATGTCCTGCTGCCTTTACTTACACATTGAAGTAGATGAATGTCTGTTGCGTCTTATGTTGAAACATTCTAAAAAGAAGAAAAACCAGAGCAGGTAGAAGTTGAATAGCTGCTGCAAGTGAAGCCCAGGATCTCCTTGTGAACCTTCCTCAGGGGCCTGCCTCTCTCCCAGGGTGAGCAGTGAAAGTCCCGCTCCAGGAACCCTGGCCACTGGCTGCCGTGTTTACCTGCTGCTCCAGCCAGCCAGATGAGCGCACCCTGGCCCTCAGAAAAGATTTCTTACCTCAGTCCAGCCTGCCCTCAGGCAAGTGTTTGCCTGACAGCAGCACCTGCACTAGCACGAAAGCTGTTAGGGATACCCTCAGCAGTGGCAGCAAAGTGCTCGGCCTCGGTGGACCAGCTTTGGTCCAGCCCCTCCCGGGCTGGGGCGGGGGCAGTGCCACACACTGTAAAGAACTTAGAGACATCTCTTCAAGTGTCACGAGTAAAAGTAGAGACTGTGCAAGTGTTAATGTGTCCTATGGACTCAATAGCAGAGTTTATTTTTGCTGTTAACTGCGAGGCTTCTAGAGTCAATGATTGTATCAGTTCCCTGCTCTGGCAGAGCTCGCAGCTCCATCCAAGTACAAAGGAAGGACCCATGCGGTGGCTTGGCTGGCAGTGGGGTGTCCCCTAGCATGAGCCCAAGAGAGGTGACAGTAGCTTGGAAGGAAAACTTGGTTGGGGTGGGGGGTAGGTGGGGCTGGGGTGGGGGTGAGCCAGGGAGGGAGAAATGGAGTTTATTGATAAAGCTTTGTGAACTAATTTTATACAATTCATAAAATTTGGTGCCTTGTATTCAGTTATGGTTTGCATGAGATTGAAGATTAAGGGAAAGGATTCCTTCTTGTCATTCCAAGTTGCCAATGGGTCTATGTAGTGTTTAAAGGACATGGTATCAGACTTTTTAAAGCATTTCATATCTTGTGTGAGTGCAAATTATTCTTACCAGCAAGTTCTGAAATATTACTGTAGTGTCCAAATTGTCTGTCTGTGATTGCTCGTCAAATGCCGCCTTTCAAGGCAGACTGTCCTTGCTGTTCCCTCCCCTGTGTGTTACAAGCATGAACGCTGGCCTTTTCACATCAGGCCGGAAGGCGGCCCCTACCGTGTCCCTGTCTAGGGTTATAGTTAGGAGTGGAAGGGTTGCTTTTCCAGCCAGTTGGAGAGCACAAATGATCAAAAAGGCCTTTTAGTTTTTATCAAAACAACTGATGCTGGGCAACTTACAGTAGAAGTCAAACAAAATGGTCCCTTCATTGGTTTTAAGTTCTTTTGCACAAGACCCCAGGAAGCAGTGTGAAAACAAGCCCCTCTGTGAACCTTCCTGTCATAAGGCCAGCCAGTGCACTGTGTAATATGCAGAGGGCAAGGCAGAAAAGAGAAGCCCTTCACCAGCTCTCCGTGCCCCTTCCCAGGGCAGGCACTGACTGGGCTGGCCTGAGTGTCCGGAGGAAGCCTAAGGCCCAGGCGGCTCACTGCAGGGCTGTGCACAGCCCGTTCTCTTATCCATCCACACGTAAAGTTTCCACTGGCTCATGAGACTTCACCAAAGGTCACTTTTCTAAGCACACTTGATAACTGGCTCTCTCGGCCTGGTTTCTGGACTCACTAAGCAGACAGCTCTGCCTCTGGGATAAAACTTCTCATTGCCACTTAATTTTTTACCCAGTAAGATTGGTGCAGATTAAAATCAGCACTAAGGAAGCGCCTTCTAATAGGACTGTGAAGTCAGTTTGTGTCTTACACATGTAGCAGCCATTCCTTGGTCTAGGGCTGTGGCTTTATCCTTCATGTACTCCAACCTATATATATATATATATATATATATTTTTTTTTTTTTTTGATACCAGGTATCAAACTCATGACCTCACACTTGCCACACAAGCTGTTATACCACTGAGCTAAATCCCTGGCCATCAACTTATATTCTTAATGCAGCATAGCTGCTCTGGCATTAAAGCAAGCTGGCATCTTTGTGGGCTCTTTCCATACTTACATGTTGGTGTGTTTCATTTAAAATCCAGTGTACGACAAAGAGGAAAGCCAGCATTTTCACAGAATTACTATCCTCCAGTAACTCAGGAGGCTGAGGCAGGAAAAGGATCATAAGACTGAGGTTTGCCTGGGCTACAGAGTAAAACCCTGTCTCCAAAAATATATATATAAACTTAAAAAATTTATTTTGAAATTGTAGATGTGGTGGTTTTATTTACTAAGTTGTTACCACTCTGAGGAAGTAAGCCAGTTTAAATGAAACTTTACCTAACCAGCATTATGGCTTTAAAAACTACCCAACAATAAATACAAGTACTTGAAACGAAACATTAAATTTTAAGTAGAAAGCTGGGCATGGTGGCACATGCCTGACATCCTAGCACACAGGAGGCTGAGGCAGGAAAATCACTTTAAGTTCAAGACCAACCTGGACTACATAGTGAGACCCTGTCTCAAGAAAATAAAATGAAATAAAATTTGAATGAAATTTAAATTATGTTTAGAAACTGCCATGTGTTAATTCTTGCTGGATTTTGATTTTCAACTTTGGAAATTTTTAATCAAATAGAACCACACACAATGGTGACATCAGGTAGGAAATTAAGGATATAACTCATTCCTGTAAGGATCAGGTGCTGGTATTTTTTTTGTCTTAGCATTGCCCTGATGTCAGCCAGATGGGGTTTAGCACCTAAGGAAAGGCTTAAAAATATCTCTTCCTGGTCACTGCGTGGCTGTGATGGTTTCAGACCTAAGCCCTGCTCTCTCGCATGTCACCATTCTTCATCTTGATAATCAGTTAAGACATAAACCTTGCAGAGAAGCTGTGATCCCAGAACACAGACTCTGAAGGGTCCTGGTTTTCATATTAAGCCAACCTCTTGTCAATTTGTTGCTCTTGTGGACAGGATCTATCTTTTGACATTCCAAAGAGAATGGGGCGTGGTGGCACATACTTGTAATCCTAGCACTCAGGAAGCTGAGACAGGAGAATGGCTGAGAGTTTGCAGGCCAGTCTGCACTCCCTACATAGTGAGTTCAAGGCCAGCCTAAATTACACAGTAAAACCCTGTCTCAAAAAAGTAAGAACAATTTACAAAAGAATGGTGCTTTAAAAAAAAAAACATATAAAAAGAATCACTCTTAAAGAGCTTCTACTGTCTTCTGGTGCTGGAGTGAAACCCAGGGCCTTGGGCATGGAGAGCATTCACTATCACTGAACAACACCCCACCCTCAGTCAGCTTTTTTTCCTTTTTTGGTACCAGGGATCGAATTCAGCACTTATGCCTCAGAGTTAAATCCTCAGCCCTCAATCAGCTTTCTTAATCAGACTTATGCCTGAAGGACCAAGACTGTTCTGCCCTGTTTACCATTAGTGAATAAATTGTCAGGCAACACCTGTCAACTGTGACAGTTAAGTCATTAAGGTCCAGTTACACTGATCACCTTTCAGATTCATGTCCTTAATGCTACACAGCCCATAGACTTGGCCCATAAAAGCAATATATTTCTAAATGCTAAGAAATTGACTAAAGAAAAATTATTGTGAAGAACCTTTTATATTTCCCCCTCTTTGTATGGCCACATGAGCTTTCCATGTCAGTTCTTTAAATATTCCAGTTCCAAAGAGCCCCACGCTCTTGTCTGGTGGCATGACTATAGATTTTAAGGTCACAAAACATTTCTCCTTGTGAAGGAGCGGCTTCCTGAGCAGTATCACTTTAGTGTCTACACCATGCTTACTTCTGGCTTGTTCCACCTACACACCATCGTGCTCTTTCTGCCACCAAGCCTCATTCTTTTCCAACAATGCCTCTCTGGTGCCTGGAAAACCCACCTGGTGCACTTAAAATGCTATGCAACACCAAATGGCTTCTCCCTCTTTACTGGTCAACAATACACATTTCTTAATAATAAGCTTCCTGTTATGTCTGTGTCAGTGTAGTGTGCGTGGTCCCAGTGTTTACTTGTTTTTCGTTTAAAATGAGGCAAGCCACCTCCATTACAATCCATGTTGGCACTTGTTCCTGTCTTTCCAGTGTGAAATATAAATCATGTTTTTATGATTTTTGTAAATCTTGACTTTTTTACACCTTGTTTTGTATGCAGAAGTTTCTTATTAAAAGAATAAAATGCCGTCTTTGTGTACAGTCTTTATTTCAAATATTTGTTAAAGCACCATTAGTGCTCCTTAGGACACAGCAGTGATTGCCCCCTACACAAACAGGCTATGTACAGAACGTTACAGAACAGAGGCAGCACTAGCTGCTACGCAGAGAACACAGTTCAAGGAGGGAGGAGAAGAGGAAGGGCCCCTGTGAATCAACTTCAGCTGCCATTAGAGCATATCTCGTGCTGGTCACAGACGGTAGGTTCTGGTTTTGGAAGGTTTGGGTACAGTGTAAGAATTTCACTGGCTGCAATCAGATGAAAACAGCTGGCATTAGGAATGGGAAAAAAAATGCTACAAAATTAAATCACCTGAACATATAGAAATATAAGAGAACCAAGAGTTTTTACATCGAGTCTCTTTGCTGTTTCATGGAATAGCTGACATAAATCATGGCTTCTCTCAGCCCCCGGAACTGCTGAGACAGGCAGATCAGTGGTTAAGTGCTTACCTAGAGGGCTACACCCCTGGCTGAGGTGCCATTAGATCAATGTCACTCAAGTTCCTGGCCAGCCAAACTCCTGCAGCGAACAGTCCCAAATTGAGGATCAAGTTCCTGGGCACAGAATGTATTTCATTAACCTCGTGGTCACCGAGTTACTTGTATATTTAATGAAAAAACTAGGAAAACGCTTCCCATCACCACCTATTACTTCTGAGGCGACCATAATGGTTACGGGGCATGTTACCCAGTACTCGCATGGGAATTTGGAGTTAACTCCAACTAATAAGGGTAGAATCCAACGCCAATGCCCGCTAAGGATTCGTGCGGAGCTGAAAGGCCTATTTGTGTTGGGGCCTCCTCCTCCCGGGGCTCCCAGGTTCCGGCGACGTTCTTATACAGACAAAGGCACATCACACCGACTTTGCCACAAGGGAATTTTCCCGGTCAGGAACCTCAGCAAAGCATAAGAGCCAGAAAGAGGCCACTCTATTGGTACCACACGCGCACTCACTCTACGAAGGAGAATACTGGGGGGATCCACACGAGGCCCAGCGGGACCAAGCTCCTGGGCTCATTTACCTCCGGAAGTCATTCCTATCGGTGGCAAAACGGTAGACGCCCCGGAGCCAATCTCCCACGTTGTCCGGAATTTCGGGGGTTTCGTTTGCAGAGCTAGCAGCGCCCACCGGGACCCCGCTGGAAGCCATACCAGCACCTCAGACCTCCGCACCGGTTCACGCGACGCCCCACGGCGGCGCGCTCGGATGACGCACTTCCGGTGAGCACTTCCGCCACCGGCCTAGAGGTGCTCAGCAGAGAGGGCCGGGCCGTCTGCGCGCCCACGAGCTCCGCGAGGAGAGGAGCGCAATCCGGCTTTCCAGTCCCCTGCCGCTGGTCCACCTGCGGGTACCTCCAGGCCGCCGGTTCCGCCGCCGCCCGCCGTCACCCACGCTGAGTAAAATCATTACATTGGCTCCGGACCAGGGAGCCTGTGGAGGTGGGCTGTCCCGCAGGGAAGCGCATCTTCAGGGAACTGGGCTTCCCGAAAAGTCTCCAGAAGTCACAGGGCGCGCAGTGCTAACGCTTGCCACCTGGCCGCTTCCCCCAGGGTGCCCGGTTGCGTTTAGACTCGGTCGGCCACACGCCGCCCGCACTGTCAGGCTGCGCCGCGCCGCTAGCACACAGAGCAGCGCTTCTCAGAGGCGGCGCTGTCCTCCGGGATCTTCCGGGGCCGGAGAAGGCGCCGGCCTAGGAAGAAGCCCTCGGGTTCTGAATCTGAGGACGAGGAGCAGGTGGGACAGGGGGTGCGCTCCTCGGGGTCCCGGGACGCATTCGGGCGGACTCGCCCTCTCAGGATGTCCGGGCTGCTGCGGGGGACTTGAGCCACGGCTCTCCCAAGGGCTTGGGCGCTTCCTCTGCTGCGGTCGGGTCCGGGCGCCCCTGTACCGGACCGGGGACAGAAACGCAGGTTTGAGTCCCCAACTCCCGTGCGCTTCCCTGCCTCCCGCGCACCCCCGGTGCTCCCCGGCGCCGCCACCCGACAGCATCACCCTCGGAACGGTGAGAGCTGCGGGCTCCCGAGGTGCGAGGTTAGGTTCGCGAGGTCAGGGACCCTGTTGGAGGGGTGAGCCGGCAAGGGACAGGGATCGGGCCCGTACTCAGAATAAGCCCCTTAAGCCCCGCTCCAGCCGCCACTCATCACGCCTCAATCCGCAGCTTCTGCTTCCTTACCTGGGGATGCCCACCCCTCGGGTGCCCTCTGTGGGCTAGAGCCCGTGTCTGGATAGCGACTCTTGAAACACCTGGGGCAGCAAGGACTGCCCCCGGTCAGGGCATAGCGCCCCCCAGACAAAGGCCCGGAGCAGTCTTGGCAGCAGAAGTGATTCTCATGCCAGTGTCTTCCCTCTGCCTCGGTGTAGCGCTGAGAGAAAATCAGCTGGGAGAAGGACAGGAAGTGTTTTGGTTCATTCATTCATTCCCTCATTTATCCAACAGATACCCTGCCTTGCAACCAGTTAACGCAGAAGCTCATCCACAGGAACCTCCCTAGTGGCTTAGGTTCCCTGGACTAGCAGGTGACACAGCCAGAAGTCAAAGTCCCGACCTGCTCTTGAATCCAAAGCTCCGTTCTACCTCCCATGCAGACCTTAAGGGTCTTTCCAGCATGTGCAGGCACCACACATAGCTTTCAGCATACTAAGGTGAACTCTGTCCAAGAACCCCAGCTCCAGACCTAAGAAATGTGAGGGGTTTTGCTTGTGGTTGGGGATGGCACAGATAAAATGCAGCAATACCCACATGCCCAGTGCTCAGTCAGGAGACAGGGAACAAGATTATCCTGGCTGGTTCCTATGCTCCTTTCCCCATTTAGTGGGAGAAACTAGCTCAGGAGGGTGATGGCCTGCCACTTCCCACAGTGGGCCCTAGGCAAACCTCCCTGCCCTCCTCCTTGGGGCTCTCTACCTGATCACAAGCTGGGCAGCGCGGCCGCAGCAATTCAGCATGATGACGGCCACAGTAGAGATGCCCATCGTGGTAGAAGTAGATGAGGTGCATCAGGACCTGGCTGCAGGCCTGGCAGGCAAAGCAGTGCGGGTGCCAACAGCGCTGCTTGCCCTCAGGGGTGGCAAACACTCCAACTTCTCCTGGCTTCAGCTGCTGCCTGCACTGCTGAGCCAGGTGTGGGACTGGTCTGAGTCCTGACCACCCTCCCAGTTCCTTCCTAGCAACCCCACCTTGTTCTCTGGTACTGTGGAGGCCCATTGCCACTGCAGTCTCCACCAAGACTCCCAAACTTGACATTTGCCAAATCCTCAGAGCCCTAGGAACTGCCCCTTTGGTAGAGGTGAGAGGTCAAGGAATAGGGGAAAGGGCAGGCTTGGTGGACAGGGGACCACACACCTTCTCACAGGTGTCTCCTTTAAGCTCAGGGGGTACTAAATGGGCCACCCCCTGTCCCAGGGCCTTCTGCTTCCGCTGGGCACAGAAGAGTCGCAGCTCCACCAGCTCCTCCTCCCCCAGGGCCAGGTAGTAGCGCTCCTGCAAAAAGAGGCTTCCGCTGTGACAGAGACAGTCCCACAGGCAAGGCAGAAAAGTTGGCTGGAGAATTCTGAAAGACTTAGCTGCTCGGTGGAGGTGGAGGAACATGGGAGAAAATAGCATAGACACAGGAGAGGGGTGCAGTAAAGCCAGCCTCAGTCCCCCCCAACAGCCCCTCAGAGCCCTGATAGCCCACGGCACTGCCCTGTTACTTTCTGCCTAGGTGTTTGTTTAATCTCTCATGCTCCTGTCTTCCACCCCAACTGAACTGTTTGCCTTTAGGCTGGGACACACAGGGCCTCAATAAATATGAAGCAACCATGCTTTACATTTGTCCATTCCATTATTGATTTCAGTCCTCCATTTCTCATTGGCTCGTGAAGAAAGCTTTGATAGGCAGACCAGATGGTACTGGGCCCATCATATAGATGTGAGAACTCGGCTGAGAGGAGTGACTTCCCCCAGCTAGTGGCAGAGCTAGTCCTTAAATCCATGTCACCTAACTGGGACCAAGGCCCTTCTCATTGTACAGAAAGAAGGACAGAGGGAAGCTGGGCAGGGAGGCGCACATCACTGTCCTGCGGAGGGAGCTGCTGCAAGAGGGTCCAAACCCCAGGCCAGCTGGCGGGCAGGCTGGTGTCCTGGAGAGATGGGTACATGCGTGGAGCTGCAGGAACCTGAAGAGAGATGGCAGAAGGGGAAGAGGAGCTACGGTTTCCTATTCCTTCTCCTTTACTCCCTCATCGCCGCCCGCTCCTCCAATCTAGAGCAATTTCTCAGCCCCTCTGCTTAGAAGGTAGATACCATATTCCTTCCAGATCCACACCGAGGTCAAGGGCAGTAGGTGGACTTCTGCATCTGTGGTACACCTGGAGGGAACCCCCAAACTTTATATGTGAGTCTATTCCCTTCTCTCCTGGAGCCAAACCCCCTCCCTGTGTTTTAACAACAAAGACCCCTTAGGAGAGGTAAAGTAGATTCATATGAATGAGTTTAAAGCATGTCTTTGGGGACAGGCAATCCAGAAAAGGGCCACAAGAACTTAGATACAAGGCAAACTACTTGCAGATGGGGAAGGGAGGCAGGTCACCGGCCGGAGGGTAGCACGCTTACTACCTGAGCAGTTATATCCACAGGGTCCTGCTCTGGCAGCTGGCCTCAGTCACTGAGTGCACTGGTGGGCCCAGCTCCTTGGACTCTCCTCTGGGTCAAGCCAGCCAGGGACCAACGCCAGCACTGTCGGCAAAATCAGCCCGAAGCAGTACAAACACCTCCATTCATGGGGTGTCCCAGTGTGCTAGGCACCGCAAAGTGTTTTACAGTATTGTCTCAGGCCTGCCAACAGCCAGGGACTTGGGTGCCACTGTCCCCATTTTACTGATGGCCAAGCTGAGGCTCTATGCATACAAATGGCAAACCCAAGGTCAAACAGTAAGTGGCAGAGCCAGATGTCAAAGCTGGGCCTCTTAGCTACAGTTCCTAAAATTCAAAGACTGGAGTCTCCCAAAATTGGGCCCTAAGGGAGGCAGCTAGGATGTTCTGCCTTTCTGGTGAGGCTTTGAGGAGCTACCTTTCCTCCTTACCTCACCAGCCTTCAACCCGGAAGGCACCATTCCTCTGTATACCCCACCCCAACAATGCTGCTTCAGGCCCCTCTCCCCAGGATCCTTTGCAGACTGTCTGACCCACACTAGTTCTGGTTCCCCTGAGCCCCACAGGAACAACCAGTGCCCAAGATTTCACACCTGTTCTTCCTCTGCTCTGAATCTCTCCCAGCTCCTCCCTTATCCCACAAGCTCCCCAAAGACAGAAAGGTTCTGGCTTCTGCCAAGAGCATTTCTTCTCCTTTGCTGTGCTGGCAATAACCTCAGGACCCTGCACATGTTAGGTGAGCACTACTGTGAACTATGTCCTCAGCCCTTATGGTGCAGTTTCACAGGATAACCTTGGTTTCTAAAGCTTTCCTCTCCTTAAATCCTGATGGGACTATAGTAGCCTCAGGAGGGCAAGTGACTGCCAGATCAGAGAAGAGATGAGCAGTGCACTCCAGGAGCTCATAGGCTAGTGGAAGACAAGAAACCAGACAGGACAGAGCCAAGCTCTGAGCAAATACACACACACGGTTGGGGGAAAATTAATCACAGCAAACTTGTTTACTCTGTCAGAGACTATTCTAGAGTCTTAGATCATATGGTTCATTGCTTAGAATGATCTTATGAAAGTGTCCATTATCCCGTTTTACAGTTGAGCTTGATTAATTAACTCACCCAAGATCACACCAGAAGGCTACAGGAAGCTTTAAGAGGAGGCCTTAGAGTTGGGTCAGTTGGCAAAAGAGAGTGATCACCAAACCTCTGGCCCAGCTCTTATTTGGGCCCAGGTTTGGCCCCTAACAGTTATGGTGCTGCCCAGCCCTGCACCCTCACCACCCTCCCTTGAGATGTCCTGTGCCACCCTTCCTCCTTCCCAGCCCCACACCCACCTATTTCCTTCCTGTTCTGTCCCCCAGGTCAGGTTTCCTGTGGAAGGTGGCCAGGATGGGCTGTTCAGCCTCAGGGCCAAGAGCAGCCACTCCCTCTAACATCTGGGTCCCTGCTCCAGGCAGTAAGGAAGGAGAGGTGATCTGGAGCCCCTAAAGGGGGACTGGTACCTTCTCCCAGGTCAACTCTAGCTAGTCTGACAGCCCCTCATTTCACTCCACCTCCACCTTACTAATCTGTTCAATTGCTCCCCAACTCCTTCCTCCCTGCCAGGTGGGGAGCCGATGGAACCCCCCCCCAACCCCGCGCAAGCTCGGGGGCGCCTCCCTTCCCTTCAGTAGCCTGGACACTAAGAGGCAGGAAGATTTCCCAGGACAGCAGAAGGGAGGGGCAGGAGGAGCATGGTCCCCGGTGCCCACGTCTTCCCGGAGTGCGCAGGACGCACCTGGCGGTGGGGATAGGCGTGGTCTCAGTTCTCGGGGCGCCGTCCGGTTGTGGATCCAGGGGACAGGACCGGGTCTCCACTGGGTCCCCGCAGCCCTGAGTTCTGTCCCTGAGTTCGGGACAGACCCACTTTAGGTTGCTCGTCCGTTCTTTCCCTAGGCTCGGCTGGACCCTCCCCGGGACCCCTCTCCTCAGCCCACCCCTGGGACGTGGATCCTACCCTCTGTCCCCCCAGACCCTCTCCCCAAAGCTTTCACTTTCCTTTCTGGCTCCCCGACCGCCCTCTACTCCTTCCCGCGGCCCCGCCCCTCCACCAGAACCCCGCCCCGCCCACTCCCGCCTGGAGTCCAAGCCACTGCCCGGGAGCGCCCTCTGGCGTCTGCGCATGCTCCCTGTACCCGACTGGAAAGTCCTCCAAGGGGACCTTCTAGGCAACGCGCCGGCCGCCCCCGCTTGGGTCCGCCCGCCCGCAGCGTCTCGTTGGTGCTGCCGGTGACCTCCGACCCCGCGACTGCGGGGCGGGGCGGGGAGGCCTCAGCTCCGGGCGGGCGGTGGCGGCTGCTGCAGCGGGACCCGGGTGCGGGGCCCGGCGCCGCCCGGGCCGCGGGGCGATGTGAGTCAGGGCGCGGCGGGGCGGGGACGAGGCGGCTCCAGCGAGACCGCGTCGCGCCGCGCCGCAGTCTCCGCTCTTTCCCTAGGAAGCCCGGGCGGGCGGGCGGCGGAGCCCCGGGCCTGGGGGCGGGGATCCAGGCTGGATGCGCGGCCCCGACTTTCCCGTTCCCTGCGGGCGTCCAGAAAACCACCTCCTACAGCCCCGAACCCGAGCAGCTTCTCCGCCCAGACCCCTCCCTCCCCCACCCAGGAGCCTCCGCAGACCCGGGACGCCCACACTCTCTGGGGTGCCTCCCAGGTGCCTCCACCGTCCTGGAATTCCTGGGGTCCCTTTTGATCCTCCCCCACCGCTGTCTTTGCACTATACCTAAATCCAAAATTCTTGCCCACATTCCTTCCTCCGAAGCCATCGAACACATTTTCAGTTCCTCTAAGGGTCTGTGCTTCCCGTCCCCAGTCCGTACCTGTCCCAGGTCAGCGCTCTCCTCTCTTTCTCCTGTCCAGCATAATCCTCTTCGAGGGGTTATCTGAAGATGTGACCCCATATCTTACAGAAAAAGAGTTGGAGATTCGACGGGTGACCCCTCCCCAAGCCTACCCGGTAGTTCTAGGTTCGCATCCCATTCATTGCCAGGCAGCTTAAGCCCCCGCGTTTTCGTAGGCACCCAGCTTTAGACTGCACTTTCTAAAGAACCTGCTCCCTCTAAAGAACAAGTCAGACCACAAGAGTGGTGATCCTTTTACTTGGGAGTTGTGCAAGGGTGCAAGGTACTGGGGTCCCTGGGGATTATTTTTCCAGAGCAGGAAGTTGGATTTTTTAAAGGGTTTCCAGAGCCCGTTGTATTGACTCGTCTATCTGGGACTCGATGCCCTCAAAATGTGGCTTTGTTAGTAATGTTTATGTTAAAATTGGGCCTCTCCAAGCTTGGGGAACAGAGGGTCTGTCCAGCCTCCACATTTAAGATTGAAAGAGCCAATTCTGGAAAAGGAAACTGTGTTTTGGGAGTTTTTTTGTAATGTTGGTCTTCCATATCTACTTCTGGCAGTTACTTTAGCTAGAAGTCCGTCGGTATATAGATGTTTCCCTTAAAAGACGAAGGCCTTAGGTTCCTCTAAGGGGAATCAGGCATGGTGGGAGAGATTGACACCAGAGTCTCCCAGATACTAAGGGGCAACAACGTAGAATAGAATATTGGTGTCCAATTGGGAGTGGTGGTGACAGGGAGACCCTGCCTGAAACAAAAACAAACAAGCAGAAACACAAATGCTGGTGTCCTGAATATCTAGTTCATTCCAGTATCCTTTTGAGAAAGCTTGTAGTTAAAATTTTTGCAAAGGTAGGGTGGTATTTTGATCGTTGCTTGTGTAACAGGATTCAGACAGGATATGAAGGAGACTTGGTAGATCTTGGGTTTTTATTGATGCTGGAGAGTTAGGGAGATACCTTGAAATCTGTGGTCTCTTTGTCCCTGATCTTACTTTCTTCATTGTTGAACCCAGAACAGATATCCTGGGGTGGGGAGATGAAAGGTCAGCAGGTCAGTTTCACTAACAGTTGGGAGTGTGGCCAGAAGGTTTCTGTTAATCTGTGGTCTCTGTCTCCTGTACTAGGTGAGCCCCAGGTGTGCCCCAGAGGGATCCAGGTGACTTCTCTACAGATTGTTTGCCATGACACCCCGCCAAGGACGTGGGGGATAAAGTGGACACCCTTCTCCATGCCCTTCCCATGGTCAGGTCCCCGATGGCCTGGGTAAGGTGAGAGCTGCACGTTGGCATGTTTTCTGAGGTGTCTTGAGTTGGGAGGCATGGAGGGTAGGAGTCATTGGATTGCTCAGCCTTTCTACACTCAGCAGAAATGTTAGAGACAGCTCAGCCCACTGACTCATTTCACAGCAAGTTAACCCTTTAAAACCGTAGATTAGAGCCAGTCCATGTGTTTCCCTTTTTCCCCGTCTCTCAGTCTCTCTCTGTCTCTGTCTCTGTCTCTGTCTCTCTCTCTCTCTCTCTCTCTCTCTCTCTCTCTCTCTCTCTCTCTCTCTTATCTCTCTCTCTCTCTCTGGGGTGCTTTAAACAATTTCTTTAACTGAAGTGCCATACACTGATTTCCATTTATTTTGATGCCTCTTTCCCCCATGGTGATTTACAGATCTTCAAGCCAAAATAGATACTTTATAGACAGATATTTGGCCATGTGAGTGTACACCTGCACAATACCTCGCATCTTTCGGCAAGAAAAGCACTTACAAGGAAAGACCTAACACGGTTAACTAGGTACAGTGAGAATCTGCACAAATATTTGTTTCTGTGAGGTAAAGGTACCATATACCTGTTCAATTAAGGAAACCATCTTTACAACACAGGACAATTTTTTAATATTCATTTATTTATTTATTTATTTTTGTCTTTTGGAGGCAGGGTCTCACTCTGCAGTTCAAGCTGACCTTGAGCTCACTTTGTAGCCCAAGGTGGTCTCATGCTTGCAAAGATCCTTCTGCCTCAGCTTCTCTGGGATCACAGGCGTGTGCCACCACATCTGAGTTGACCATTTTTTTATTTTTAAGTAAGACCTGTGCCATGAGTTCATAGGGAACAGACTCCACCTACTTAGGCCTTCCTTTCCATTGGTCCCCTCACTGGAGTGCGCTTCTCTGGGCAGGGCCGGATGGTGCTCTGGTTGAACCCAGGTACCTTTCTCTTTGACCTCCTTCATTTTCTCATCATTTTCCTTCCCTTCGTTTCAGGAAGCTATTGTGACCCTTTGAGTACTTAATATGCCCAATACACGCATTAATCCTCGTGGCGAGCATCTTGCCCCTAACTTGCTAGTTTACAGCAGTGCCAGCAGCGTGCTGGGTAACACTGTAGACTTTTCCTGGTTTGCCGTGGTAACATTTGTGTAAGATTCTTTTTTTGCACAGAGCCCATTCCCTTGATGTCTGCAATATCAGACAGGGTTAGGGTCGCATGTCTGCGGCCAAAGGACCAACCCCCTGTCTTCTGAGAGACCTAGAGAACGTACATAGGTTCCCTCCTCTTTCCCTTGGTGTTCATCATTTTGGCAAATGACCGGAAGATGGCGGTTCTGGCTGAAAGATGTGTTTCTCTTTTCTCTTTTTTGGGAGAGGAGCTCCCTGTGCAGCCCAGGCCAGCCCCAAACTTGTGGCCCCCCTGCCTCAGCCTCCTGAATGCCAGGATGACAGACACACACCACTGTGCCTGGCTGCGTCCATGGGTTTCTTGTTCCTGTCTGTCACTCAGGCCCACCTGGTGTCCTGTCCATCTTGGGCACCACCTTGATTGTTGTGATGTAATCTATGTGCCACAGGCCTGGAGGGAGGAGCGAAATAGGCCTGTAGTCTCCCCTTTGGTCAGTGGGGAGCAAAGCCAGCATTTTGTTTTCGTGGGTTTTTTGTTTGTTTTGGTATCAGGCATCGAACTCAGGACCTCGAGCTTGCCAGGCAGGCGCTGTGCCCCTGAGCCATATCCCTGGCCCTTTGTTTTTGTTTTGAGATAGGGTTTTACCATGTAGACCTTGCTGGAGCTTTTCTGCCTCAGCCTCCCGAATGCTTGAATTACAGGCGTGTGTCACCACCCCCCCCAGCATACCTAGACTTTTTGTGTTTCTTGGTGCTGGGGATCCAACCCTGGGCCTCGTGCATACAAGGTGCATGCACTATTCCTGAGCTGTTTCTCAGTCCCAGCCTATATTCTTTTTTAATCCAGTCATGTGTTGGGGCCCAGGCTGTGTGAAAGACAGCCCTGCCACCCTGCCATCAGGAGGCAGAAGTGCTTCAGAAATGGGGAAGTTTTTGCCAAAGGCTGCAGACTTCCCAGCTGGGTAGGGCTTAACCCATAACCCTAACCCCTTCGCTGCTGAGGCAGGGTAACATCTGCTGAGGATAAAAAGGCAAATACCCAGATGTGGGGAAAGACCTTAACTTGTTGCCTTTGTGATGCCAAACTTGTTCCTCATTCTGCTGCCTGGTTCTTACTGTAGCTGTTCCAGGAAAAGCAGGTTCTGTGCCCTCCACTTCTCTCACTGGCTAATAAGAGTAGACCAGCCCAGTCTGAGGCCGTGGCCTCCTGGCCCCCCTGAACATGCAGATTTCTCTTTGTCTTTCTCTATTCCTCGCTATACCCCCCCCTCCAGCAGGAAACCCAGGAGTTTAATCAGCCCCTGGTAATCGTGGTTATAAAATGTGCTGTTTTAAGTGTTCAGTCTTTTAAATATGTCTTTACAGTCGTACTGTAACAGTTCATTTGAAGAAGACATCAAAAAGATTCGAGGTAGATGTTGGCCATGATGATAAAGGAAGAAAAGAGAGAACCAAGATGGAGAAATGGGTTAGGGGGAAGGGTACAGGCCAGAGTATCTGGGACTCGCAAGTGACAGTGTCTTAGCCCAGTCTGAGTGAGGGCCTGGTCACTTCTGGGCGCCTCTCCCTCCCATCGTGTGGGTCAGAGTCCTGCATACTTTCCAAGGTCCAGATGGATGCTTCTGAGAAGGCTTGTCCATCCACCCACCAGAACGCTCAGCACCATCCAGCTTGAATTAATGTTTAGCCAAAGTGTCTGCCCCGGACAAGGGTGAATTGTTTGACAGAGGGTCCGTGTCTTCCAGTCTGCCGGACAGAGTCTGTGATGGATCGCGGGAGCAGGGCTTCTTGGAGCTACGGTAACCTGCTCGTTCCGTTTCCTCCTAGGGTGGGCTGGCTGCTCTGACACCATGGGGAGCTGTTGCGGCTGCCTGAATAGAGACAGCGTCCCAGACAACCACCCCACCAAGTTCAAGGTACCAGGCCCCCGAGTACCACAGCTTCTCTGGGGAAAGTTAGAGGACAGGCCAGAGCATAGGATGGTGGCCTGGGCAAGAGAGGCCCGAGCCACTGCCACTTTTTACTTCTCATTGGCACCAAAAGGAAATGCTGCACCGCGCAACACAATGGTGCTTTTAGAATGTTCACTCCTGCCTGCGTTTTGTCACTCTGTGTACACCTCTTTTTTGGAGAAAAAGAACAAAAATATATATTTGTCAGTTCCGGTGCACTGGGTGTTCTCAGTTGTGCTTGGTTCAGTGCTTAGCGAGTCCTGTCTCTGTGCATGGTTTGCTTTGGGAAGCGGAGGCAGGGCCTGTCCTGTAGGGGGCACCACCCCACTACGTTGGCTGTGTTGAGTTGTAGTTGTCTTGCCCACCAGAAGAGGGGGTCCTCAGGAGCGCAGCCTTGTGGGAAGTGGCAGCAGTATGTATTGGTTGTGATTTCACACAGCGTTTAATTTTGACTTGTTCCGAAAGGGAAAGAACAGGGTACTGGGGGTTGAACCCAGGACCTTTGCGCTGAGTATCCCCAGCCTTTTTGATTTTTTTTAAAAGTGTTTGAGACTAGATAGTTAACCAGGCTCCTGCTTCAGCCAGGCATGTGCCACCAGACTCAGATAACTTTTTGAAGTTTTATGACAAGGTTTTACAAGATCACTAAATTACAGAGTGGAGCTGGAACTTGTGATTCTCCTGCTTCAGCCTCCCAGTGTGCTGGGATTACAGGCTTGTACCACCAGACTCGGCACAGTTGTGTATTTACGGTTGATTCCCTTCCTCATTAACATCTGGTCCTCAGATACTAAGCCCTGGGCTGTCACAGGTCGCTTAACATTGATCATCTAATGGCCTGGCCGTGGAAGTCAGCTGTCTGCCTCTTCCCTCTGTACCCAGATGATGAGATTGAGGCCCAGAGGAGGATTTGCCCGGAGAACTCGGGTGGATCTGGCAGGAGTTCATGGTGTCCGGGTGGGCACGTGAGCGTCAGCGTCCAGCCCAGCCCCATGTGGTGCTGCCTTCGGGGGGCTCAGGTCTCGTCCGTGACCCCTGTCTCCTCAGGTGACGAACGTGGACGACGAGGGGGTAGAGCTGGGAGTGGGGATAATGGAGCTGACCCAGAACGAGCTGGTGCTGCACTTACAGCGGCGCGAGGCAGTGCGCTGGCCCTACCTCTGCCTGCGGCGCTATGGCTACGACTCCAACCTCTTCTCCTTTGAGAGTGGCCGCCGCTGCCAGACCGGCCAGGGTGAGTGTGCCATCCGGGCCGGGCTGGGCTGGGTAGTTTGACAAGGACGTGGCAGTGGGCTCCACACTCAGCCCAGCCCTAGACTTGGCAGGTGTTGCCCAGGGACAGGGGTCCTGGCCCAGGGCACACGGCCTGGTACTGCAAGACTTCATGGACTCCCAGGCCAGGGCTCTTGGTCCTTTCACTCACAGGCGCTCCAGCTGGGTCCCTGAGTGGCACAGCCTGGCAGGACCCAGGACCAAGTGGTTGTTCCTAGGCCAGGCCTTGCCCCAACCACACATGGCTCTTGCCCTGTTGGCCCAGCTCCCAAGGTCCTTGCTACCCCCCACCCCCAGTGGGAGTACACTTTCCTGAACTTCTAGGACCTGTGACCTGAACCTGTGAGTAAGGAGGTGGACAGAGCAGACGAGGGACACTGGCTCTGGGGAGTGAGATGGGGGAGCATCTGGGTCTCCATGGGGCAGGAGAACCCTCAGGAGTTCGCCTTTGCCCATGACTGAGGGGGCCAGCACCGTGCAGTGCCCCCCTTCCCTCCTTGCGGCCAGCCATGGGCTGGTGGCTGTTCTGCGGGGTCAGGGCCCCAGCTGCCCCAGCTCTGGTCTTGACTGTGAGGTTGCAGGGGTAAGCCCTGCAGAGGGTGCCCTGCCCAGAAGGGCACTGTGACTGCAGAGGGACATGTAGGGAAACAGACCCAGAGGTCACATTGCCCCCTCCACGTGCCCGGCCTGGGAGCTCATGGGCAGAGCAGTGATGCTGGCTGAGCAGAGGGGAGAAGAGGCTGCCTCGTCCCTGTCCCGAGGGCAGTGTCATCTGTGCCTGGCTCCCCAAGCCTCAGCACAGGCCTCTTCCAAATTTCAGGCCTCTGCTGGGTCTCCCCACCTCTGCTTTCTTTTTTCCCTCCCATCCTGTTCTTGCAAACCACACTGGTCCGTACTGTCTGCGACATGGCGTTTAATATTGTAATTGTTGCCCGATCTCCAGCCTGGGCTGTCTCCCCAGATGCGCCCCCCATGGCCTCCCCAAATCCCAGGTCCCATCATGGCACAATTGCAGGTGTGCCCATGCCAGGGACATCTTATGGTCCTGAGTCCAGTGTGCTCTAGGCCCAGTCCTGCCACTCCTGGGACACTGAGTGGCCAAGCTGGAGATGGAAGGGCAGCAAAGTGAGGCACCTAGGCCCTTGCCTGCCCTGCCAGATTGGCCTTCAGCTGTGCCTGTCCTTCCTCCTTCCTGCCCGAGTTCATGCTCCAGGAGCCAGGGACCCATGTGGAGGCAGCCCTCCCTCTGGCCAGGCTGTGTGTCCAGTGACAGCCGTGAAGAACACAGACACTCCTGCTGTGGCCACGCTGCTGGGCAGATGCATTGGGCTAAAGGCTGGGGACTGGTAGGGCTTGTTTTTCTGGGGAACAGGGGTGGCCAGCAGGAAAAAGCAGCACGGGCTGTGCAGTGACACATTCACTCATCTTGTGCCATCAGTGTCCGTGACAGTGTCTCAGACAGGATATAGCTGCAGGATGTTTTGGGCCTGAGGTAGTAGATACGGTTGGACTGGGGGGCAGCCCATGGGCAGAGCCCTTACCTACCATGTACAAGGCCTTGGGCCCCAGCAACCTGAAAAATGCCAGAGAGCGTGGCTGTGGGGGCGACCCCCGGGCCCAGCTGCTGCAGTTACTCAGGCTTCTGGAGTGTCCCTGGAGGGTGGGAGGATGAGGAGGCGCAGGCTTGTGGCTCGCCGACATCTGCACATGCACACTTGTCCAGCTCCATGGCCCTCTGCACGGGCCTGGCATGCAGGGTGCCCATCTCCTCCTCTCCTTATCCAGGGATCTTTGCGTTCAAGTGCTCCAGGGCTGAGGAAATCTTCAGCCTCCTTCAGGATCTGATGCAATGCAACAGCATCAACGTGACAGAAGAGCCAGTCATCGTCACCCGCAGCAGCCACCCTGCTGAGCTCGACCTCCCTCGGACGCCCCAGCAGCCCAACGGTGAGGCGCCCCCCACCCTGGGCACCCAGTGAGGACACCAGCATGGACTGGAGGCACAGACGAGTGGGGAGTGGAGAGCGCTAGGAGCCAGCCTTCCGGGATAGTCACCTTTGTCAGAGCCGCCCTGAGGGTAGCTGGGGCCTGTGCTGGGCTGGTCAGGTGACTTGGCTGAGGCTGTGGCATTCTGGGCCTTGGATCCACTCATGGTTGGCAGGAAGATGTTGGGTTTCCATGGAAACGGCAGTCTGGAGCTTCCTGCCTCCTTCCTTCCGTGTGCTGGGTCACACACACCTTTCCTGGAGCCAGCTCTGTTGTCTCCGCCAATGCTCGGCCACAGGGGAGCCACAGCTGCTGGCCACGTGCAGCCACTGCTCGGTGCTCTCAGGCCTGTCAGGGACAGAGGATGGAACCAAAGGGTTCGCTTTTGAGGCGCTCTCTTGGGGCTCACTGGCAGTGGAGGGTGACCAGGGTGCTGAGGGTGGCCAAGGAAGGCCCTCCTAGAGGGAGTGGGGCACTGGCTCGGACTGAGCTCAGACGGCGGGGAGGAGGGAAGGGCAGGAAGAAGCTCAGCACTGAGTGTCCCCCACATTGGAAGGGTCCTCGCCTGCAGTTGCTGGTTTAAACGCCTGTCACCTCGCCTGTCTCCTGGCCCAGCTCTAGGGTACACCGTGTCCAGCTTCTCCAATGGCTTCCCCAGCTGCCCTGGAGAAGGCCCACGGCTCTCCGCTCCCCGGCGGCCATCCTCAAGCAGCCTGCGACACCCCTCGCTCGGGGAGGAGTCCACGAGTGCCCTCATTGCCCCTGATGAGCAGGTGAGCAGCAGCAGGCCCACCAGTGTCTGGGTGGGGACAGGGTTTGGGACCACGGCCACCTCCTGCCAAGAAGGATCATGGGAAAAGGAAGAGAAGGGAGATGTCAGGAAGAGTTGGAGGCTGGGGAGGAGGGGGAGCTGTGGCTTTTTGCCCCTGAGCCTCTGTCCTGCCTTCTCCCTCCTGCTCTTCCTTCCTCCGGGCCCTGCCCCACGTGGACCGTCCTGCAGTCACACACCTATGTCAACACTCCGGCCAGCGAGGTTGACCAGCGCAGAACCCGGCACTGCCTGCAGCCACTGCCCGAGGCGCGGACGCCCTTCCCCTCGCAGGCCCGGGAGCCTGGCCCCAGGGACCCGCAGGTCTTCCTGCAGCCGGGCCAGGTGAAGTTCGTGCTGGGCCCCACACCCGCCCGGCGGCACGTGCTCAAATGCCAGAGCCTTCAGGACGCGCCCCCCCACAACAACAACAACGAGGGCCCCTCTGAGTGCCCCGAGCAGCCCAAGTGCACCTACGAGAATGTGGGCGGGGGGTTGCGGCGCAGCCCCAGTTGGAAACTGAGCCCCAAGGAGCCGGGTTGGGGCAGCCTGGCCTACCGCCGTGCTGCGCTGCTGCACTATGAGAACCTGCCCCCACTGCCCCCAGTGTGGGAGAGCCACGGGCAGCTGCGGGCCGGGGAGCCTGGTGATGACGGGGACCTGAGGGATGGGCTCACGCCCTCCTCCAATGGCTTCCCTGAGGGGGAGGAGGACGAGACCCCGCTGCAGAAGCCCACAGGCTCCCGAGCCTCTGCCCGCAGCCATGGCAGCTTCCCCGTGCCACTGACCCGCCGCCGAGGCTCCCCGAGGGTCTTCAGCTTCGACTTCCGCCGCCCGGGCCCTGAGCCCCCACGGCAGCTCAATTACATTCAGGTGGAACTCAAGGGCTGGGGTGGGGAGCGGCCCAAGGGGGCCCAGACCCCCTCAACGCCCCGGGCCACAGGGCCCAGCTCGGACTCCTATGCCGTGATCGACCTTAAGAAGACTGCGGCCATGTCCAGCCTGCAGCGGGCACTACCCCGTGACGATGGCACTGCCCGCAAGACGCGGCACAACAGCACCGACCTGCCTCTCTAGGTGCACCTCGCAGTCACCTCTGCTGTCTGTGGCCACCACCGGGCCTGCTGTGGGAGGCTTGGGGCACTGCGGGCTCCCCAGGCCGAGGCGGGAAAGGGTGGCCAGCTGAGGAGGGAGCCACCACGCCAACTGTGAAGGTCCTCGTGATTGCGTTTCCCTCAGTCCCCTTCCGTCCATGCGTCTTGTTGGCTGTCTGTCCATCCATCCATTTGTGTGTGTTTTTTTTGGTTGGAATTTTGAAACATTTTGTACCTGTTGATTTTATTTATCAGTTTATTTTTCTATTTATTGTTTTAAATGTAATTTAACATATTTATTATTAATATAATTATTTTTAAATTCTGGCCCAGCGGGTGGAGTCATCTTATGGAGTCTTCTCTGGGAGGGGACAGGAGTCTGGGGTGGCTGTGGCTTTTGTGACAAGTCTGTGATCGTTTGTTCGTGTCCTTCAACGAGCCCTGGTCCAGAACAGAACTTATTGAAGTAAGTGACAGAGAGGACTTGGGAGGGTGACCGCCCCAGGGTAAGACTGACCCCTGAGGCCGAGGCTGGCCTGTGCGGTGTCTCCAGGAGGGAGCCCTCCCTGACCCCCCTGCCTGGCGAGTGGCAGGGGCCACTACGATCCTCTGAGGCCCTGGCTCTGAGGTAGCCATGGGGCATCTTTAAGCACACCAACATGGTTGAGTCTTGATGAGACCCTTAAACAGGACTTAAGAGAACACAGTGTACCGTGTCACCCAGCGCCGGCCTTGCAGAGTGGCTTTCCTGGAGACTGGCCAGCGGGGCCCCACACCCTAGCATGCCCAGCAGCCCCTTCTCTCTCCTGCGCTGCTCTTCCTGCTGCTTCCCTCCTGTCTGCCTGGCCTCCGCGGGGCCATTGCCATTGAAGCCGTGAGGTTAATGTGGGAGAATTCAGTGTGATGACCGCGGGGCGCAGGAAAGGAGTAAGGCTGGCCTTCGTCCTCCACTTGGGGACAAGCCTTCCTCAGCCCCGTTTGTGCCCAGTTCCTGCTCTGTGTCTTGTTGCTCCCCACAGCAGCAGTCAGGGCACGGCTGCAGCCTCCCAGCAGTGGGTGGCAGTCCCCACGTTGTCAGGGAGGATTGCTCACAGCAGGACCAAGAGGCCCCACGCTGAGTCCCACGGCTGTAGCCGCCACCAGCCCGTCTCCCCTTGCCAGCCCTGATGGATCGGTCACCACAGTGGGACTCAGTGCCTGTCCCACGTCCTGGAAGCCAGGCAGTGGTGGCCTCCTCAGCTCCCAGCCCTCTGACACCCTGTTCCTCCCTGTGGCCTGCATGGTCCCAGCCCGCAGGCAGCCATGCAAGGGCTTCACCTTGCTGAGGGACAATGGTGGCCATGGCCAGCCTGGGGCTGGCGGAAGTCAGAGACAGGCACTAGCCGACACCCCACTCTTGCTGTCACAAGCATGTACTTCCTCCGTGCGCCCTGGTGTCAGCCGTGTCAGGACAGGCCCAGCCGGCTGTCCTCAGGGCCCAGGCCTCAGGCTTGCAAAGCCATTGCCCTCATTCTCCAGGTCATGGAGCTGACTCTGATCCCAGGGCACCCCACACCACGTTGTCATCGCCACAGTCAGCAGCCAACCTTCTGTCCCCTCCCCTGGCCCAGCAGGGATTTTCCTCCCTCAGGAAGGGCAGGGGAGAGCAGACAGCTTTCCTGGTGGGTAGAGGGGGGTGGTTGAGGTGCCCATGGGGCGATGGCCGCCCCTGCAAGAGAGCCTGCCCTGCCTGCGTGTAGATGGAATCAGCCACCAACATCAGAGTGTGTTTGCCCGGTACTCTCTGTTCCAGTTTAGAGCAGGACCCTGCCCACACCCTGGGCAGCGCTTGGGAAAGGACAGGCCCAGCATCCTGTATGGGGTGACCTGTCGGCCTCCTGAGCCCACGCCTGGGTAACTGCAGCACTTTGCAGGATATGGACGCAGGCGGCTTTTCACAGAGGTGTAGACCATTTATCTCCACCCGGCCTCCCTGGACAGGATTGTTATCACCCCTGCACAGAAGAGGAAGTGGGCCAGGAGGGGAAGTGGCCTGCCTGAGGCCAGGAGTTAATGAGCAGCTTGCACTGGGGCTGGATGCCAGGCGTGTCTGCCCCCCGCCAGCTCTGGGCCCGGCCTGCGGGCACCCGCTGCCCTGGACAGGGGGCCATGAAGACTGTGGGGCTCCCCCTACCCAAGTGGGTCGGTTGGGTGCCAGCAGAGCCACATTCCAGCTCTTCCTCCTCAGGAATCCTTCTGAATTCCAAGCTGCTAACTATGGGGGTAGCCCTGATCCAGGCTGCCCGATGCCCACCTGTCCTGCCTCTTTGCAGCTTGAAGCCTAAGAAGCAACTGGCTCTGCAGTTCCCCTCTGGCTGCAGAAGGAGGCTTGGCCTGTCAAGCCCTGTCCTCTCCTAGCCTGTCTCTTCCGGCCTCCCAGGTCAGGCAGGGTCAGGTCTCCGAGCCCTGAGCAGAACACTTCTCTGAGGCAGATGGGCTGGAGACCAGAGTCCCTGAGCCTCTAGGAAAGCCATGGGAAGAGACTTGGAGGAGAAACTGGGCTGGGGCGGCAGGTCCTGTGGATGGTGGCAGAGTCTAGGAGGGACACTTAGGTCCTGTTGGTCCGCAAAGCCAGGACCGACTCAGGAATCCCTGCCGCAGTTCCAGGAAATGCTGATCTAGTCTACTCACACACTGCCAGGGCCGGGGGACTCACTACCTGAGAAGCCCACCCTCTGCTTGGTTCCTAGAAACCCCCATGCTTTCCTGGTGCCCAACACGGCCAGGGTGCAGGACACACTGGCATCTCCCAGCCATGCAGCCACTGTGCCTCCCACACAGGGCATGCACGATGCCACCTGTGGACAGGTTGTAAGGGTCCACTGCTATTCGCACCTGCACCAGGCTCCTCCCAGCATCCTTAGGGCAGCGCCCAGGCCTGACCTGACCCTCAGCTCCTTCCAGCTAGTGCCCTCCTCCTTCTGAACATCATGCCTCTCTGACGTGACCCGTGTGAGTGTTTACCCTGTCCGCTCCTGGGGTCTTAAACCTGCCCTAAAATGACAGCATCTGTGCCACATAAACACCCTCAGCTTCCTTGCCACAGCCCTCCAACACTGCAGTCTCTGGCTTGGTGTGTGCGTGCATGTGTGTATGCATTTAGCGACTGGGCCTGGCTGTCGCCCAGGTTGGGCTTGATCTTGTGATCCTCCTGCCTCAGCCTTCCAAAGCGCTGGGATTCCCCACGCCCAGCTCCTTTGGCTTGTTAAGTTCAAATCCGAATGGTTCATTCATCCTGGCAACAGTTCTTCTTGGCACACAGGGTCTGCCCTGGTCTTCAGAAGTGCCAGCTCTTGGTGGGGACAGGAGGTGATGGGAGGGTGGGGAAGGGGATCTTGGAGAAGGGGCTGAGAGGAAGGTTCCCACCACCGCAACGGTCACAAGGGTGCAGCTGCCGTCTGGCACTCAGGCTGGTGTCCCCAGGGCTGGGAAGCCCCCAAAAGAGCGTGAGTGAAGGATGGGGCCTTGGCTGTGACTCTGGGGAGAAGGGGTAGAAGCCAGTCAAATCTGCCTCCTCCTGACCATTCTCGGGAGTGGTGGTGGCACCTGGGGCACACAGAGGTGCCAGGTGTTCTTGGAAGTTCCTGGTCACCCTCACTGAGGGCCATATCAGTGCTCCGATACCCAGGGTGGGGAGGGTCAGTGTACACAGGCACCGGGGCCTTGGTTTCCCAGAAAACACGGCACAGATGTTCCAGGCACAAGGTCTGGTGGCCCAGTCAGGTCCCGACCAAGCCCCACACCCCAGGTGGTCAGGCTGCCAGCAGGCAGGATCACGGGATGGGGGCTTCTCCCGTTTGATGCCAGGTGACCTCAGGCAGGTGGCTTCACCTCTCGGAACTGGTCTCCTTGTCTGTCTAGTAAGGGGATTAAGGATATTTACCCCATTACATAGAACGCTTGGTGTGCACTTAATCTGACAGTTGACACAGCCCTGGCAGCAGTTTTGGGACGCTTCCTGCAGGAGGCGGACTGTGAGGAGGGTTAGGAGCAGGAGAAGCTATTAACCTTTTGAAAGGGAGAGGACTGAGGAGCAGCTAGGGACAGGGATGGCAGGAGTAGGCTGAGAGCTGAGCTTGGGAGTGCACACCTGTCACCCCAGCCCCCTGGGAGGCTGAGACAGGAGGATCCCAAGGTTGAACCCAGCCTGAACAACGCAGCAACTTAGCAAGACCCTGTCTCAAAATAAAAAAAGTAGGGGCTGGGGATTTAGCTCAGCGCATAAGCATCTGCCTTGCAAGCAGGCAGTCGTGAGTTCGATCCCCGGTACCGATAAAAAAAATAAAAGTAAAAAAGGGCTGGGGATATAGCTTAACCCCATGCGGAGGCCCTGGGTTCAGCTCCCAGAAATGGAAAACAATAAGTAACCCAGGATGGGTGGGAAGATGGAAGCCATGTCCCCTAGGTGAGCAGGGCCCACTGTGGGCAGAGGGAAGAGCAGGTCCAGGGACCAGGCGGAGATGGGGACAGATGTGGCCACCACCCTACGGAGCCAGTCACTGGACAGAGCCCCCAAAGGGGGCAGGGAGACCCCTTCTGCTGCCTACCACAGGGAGCCTTCCCGACTCCAGCTGCCAGCGCCTTGGCCTCCAGAACTACAGGAGATGGCTTTATCGTCTGCACCCCCAGATTTGATTTGCATTTTTAGGGTGTTGGCAATGAATGTGGGACAGCAAATGAGGGACTGAGGAGGCTGTGGGGTCTGAGGCTCACGAGTGGAGGAAAGGTGACCGCCGAAATGGGAGGGGACAGATTCCAGCTGGAGGCTGGGCTCTCATTAGGAGGGCACCTGGGGTCACCAGTGTGGACAGGGCCCAGCCCAGGCGAGACAAAGCCATGAGGACCTTGGATCTGGTGCTGCAAGAAAGGTGCGGCCAAGATGTGCAGCGAGTGTGGACCACAGGAAGGGACATTGCCTCGAACTGCCCTCCATATCCCCCCTCGATCCCCACACACGAGTCCCACGGCTCACACTGCTTTCGGCAGCAGCTCTGAAGTCCTGCTTCCTGAGCGTCTTCACGACATGATCAAAAATACAGTGAAGACTGTGCCCAGTGCCAGGTACCAGAAAGGCAGGGGCCTAAAAATGTGACACTAGCTGGCTGGGTGTGGTGGCGCACGCCGCTAATCCCAGCACTCAGGAGGCTGAGGCAGGAGTCTCACTGTGAGTTTGAAACCAGCCTAGGCTGCATAGTGAGTTCAAGTCTGGCCTGAGCTACATAGCAAGACCCTGTCTCAGAAAAACTAAGCAGGGCCGGGGGTTTAGCTCAGCAGCTTAAGTGCCTGGT